ATGGTGTTTACTTGGTATTTTGTTGAAGCACTGCCTTCCTGCAGCCCCACTACGGGATACCTAGTACATGGCCTATAACCTAAGGACACCTCTTAGAGTCATGTTGTCAGTGGTCTTATGTGTTTGAAATAAATGCCCAATTTATTAAATATTTTTTTAAAAATATGTTTTACTGAAGCTAATGGACACTTTCAGATAGCGTGTGTGTGTGTGTGTTGTGTGTGTGTGTGTGTGTGTGTGTGTGTATGTGTGGTGTTTGTACAGCAAACTGTTTAGAAGCTTCTGGCTACTTTATTTACATAAAACAGGGGACAGTGAAGCTGCTTATTTACATTTCTATTATCAAAGTACCAAAAAGATCCCTGTTTTAAATAACATACATACAGGTCAAAGGGAGGTGAAGCACACTGATATTTGTATGCTGCTGCCGCTGTTGCTGCTTCTACCGCTACTACCAGTGGTACAACTACTTCCTGATATTTGTAAAATAATAATAGTTATTAGAATTGGAACTATAAGTTAATAATAGTAGTTACTGTCTGCTAGACACTATTTTAAGTGTTTAAAATGATTTAAATAATTTATTCTTCACAATAACCCAGTAAGAGAGGTAATATTATCATCTCCTTTTTATAGATGTGGAAACTGAAGCATAAAAAAAAACAGTAACCTGACAATTATTGTAGAGCTAGTGAGTCAGTGAGTGGAGCCAGCGTGGTAACTCTGCAGTTTGGCACCAGGATCTCTGCTTTCAATTTTTATACTCCTCTCAAGAGCTCTGATTCTAGATTTTTTTTTTCTTTTTAAATGGATTTAACTTAAATGAAGACATTAATGATCTTCACAATTAATTTTAAAATTCTCTAGTTTCTTGAAAATTAAATCAGTGTTAAAAATCAGTATTATATTTATGAAAACAAGCCATGCCGTTATTTACACCTTGATAATTACAAAATGCCTTTTACCGTTAACTGCCTATCCCATGCTGCAGTGCTCCTTCCCATGTCTTTGTCTGCTTTGGGATGTCAACTTAAAATTTGTCACAAATGAGTCAGTCAAGGAAAAGAAAATGCACAGTTAAATGATTTCTGTGTGGACACACTGAAAAAGTAACTATGTTTAACCAGTGACACTGTCACAAAAAAGTACTGCCTGAAATAGGATGTTATTGAAATCTTTTTTAAAAAAAGGTGGCAACTAGATTTTGCCAAGTTGCCAGTTGGTAATAAGCAAATATATATATATACTACACTTATATGTTAACTTTATATGTAGATATTTATAGTTATATATTCCTGTTTTTTGTGTTAACAGGTATATGTGGGATTTATCAAACTGAAATTTGAATGCTACTAACATTTTGGTGCCTGATAAATTCATATTATCCATTTGGGCAACTGGAAATGAACCTGACTCCTAGACTGTAACTGAATAATAACATTAACATGCCAGTTTTGCATTTTATATTAGATAACATTTAATGCATTGATGAGTCCTGTTAAACACTGGCCATTTTTTAATATCTATTGGGAACTTTAAAAGTTCTATAAGAAAGAACCTGCCTGCTTATTAAAATGTTCCAAGTCTTATACAAAATGTTTCAAGTGATATACAAAAGCCTGAAGATCAATTTAGCTCAGATTCTGTGTCATGTTCATAGTGTGATGTGCTTTGATTGTATTTATGATATCTTATATACTTTGAGAAGATAACACCCACTAATATGTCTGTCCCAGCCTATTTGGATACAAATATTGGCAAAGTTAACACAGAGTATTCTCAACTTGACCAATCTTCATTCAGAGTTACTTTTATTAAATCATTAGTTGATATTAAATTGTATATGTTATGCTTATTTCTTATGTGTAAATCACCTACTTCATTATTTTGCTTTATATAAAGTGTTCATGTAATATCTCTGCAATAATCATTTGTTCAAGGCACAGAGTTGGAAAAAGTTACAAAGTCCAGGAAATATGTCCGGTTGTCGAAATGATCAGTATATGCAACAAGACATATAGACTTAGTTCATTTGCTTCATGTTCCTTATTGGCAACTTCACTAGGCACTGACCACATGCTGGGCTCTCTACCCTCACTCACAGATCAGTGGTTGATAGAGACAGACACATACAAATCAGGATACACATAAGACGTGCTGTATTGGGGTGGTAAACCATATCTGTGTGAGTTGAATATTAATAATAATTAGGATTCTCAGGGTAAACAAGGTGTAAAATGTATTCCAGACAGAGGTCATTGCATACAAGGGCAGAAGAGGCTTGGTTCTGTAGAAACTCTAGTGGATTTTGAAAAGAAGAGAACAGGAAAGACCCTTTCTAAATAGACCTGAATAAGATTCTTTCTACAAAGGAATTTCATGCTCAGAACATGTAGAGAGCACATGTTTGCTTTGGGAAAATGCGTTTTTAGTCATGAAAATGAACTAAGTGTTAGAGTGAAAGAGACATTTTGAGGGTAGAAGAAACTAGACTGTGATTGACTGGATGTGAGGAGAGAGTAGCGAAAGATTGTACCTAAATATCTGGTATGGGCTTTAGAATATGTTAAGGCTTTCAGCTGAAATGAGGCATCAGATAAATTGGTGCAAGTTTGGAGTAGGAATATCATGATTTTCTTTGTACTACATATAACATTAGAGATGATGACAGGATATCTAGATGGAGGTGTGAGAGCACTTACCCCATTATATAGTACTTTTTAAATTGTACATGTCTTACTTGTGTGTTATGAGCTCAGTAAGGAAGAGGCTCTTTCTTTCTGCATCTTTTAATCCATACTTTGCTTTCATATCTTAGCATTTTGTAAAAGCTAAAAAATATTGTAGGGTGAACAAATCAGGATGAGATAGGTAAATGATCAAATAGTTAGAATACAAGCAAACAACTATATGAAGTGGGCAAAAGCACAAGACTTATATAAGGGATTCAGCAGAGATGTCTTTTATCATAGGAACCTAATTCCTCCCTAAAATATCTGTTCTTTGGAAGATGCACACACTTCACAAAGAAAACTTCTACTGGCCAAAACAAAAGCATGACATTACTGCCTTCATTTTTCAATTTTATACATATTAAAGTAATTTGAGAGACTATACCCTCATTGAAAATACATTTTATTCTAATAATAGTTAATTCTATTGTTTCAAATTTTATCAAGCTATCCATTTCAATTTTTTTTTCACAGATGGCTTACTTAAATGTTTTTCTTAGCTAAATGTGAATGTAACCATATCCCACATTAAGTAAACATACTCGTATTTCAGAATTACATGTTCTTTGTCCTCCCAGCACTTTCGATAAGATAAGGGAAGATAAGTACCTACCTTAGGAATATTATAATTTTTTGAGATTATAATTAATACCTATATGTAAAAGCAATTTAAATCATCATAGACATGCCACTAATAATTATTAGTTAAATCAGTATCTACATCTTAAACTCTACGATAAAAGTAACCATATCCACCTAGTCAATTAATATTTACTTGATATTCTATGCTAGGAGTTGTGCAAGATACTTAGAATACCAAATTCCTTCTAAGCGTTCTACAGTGTAGGGAAACGTCTCTCAAATTCAGTATGTTTCGGCATGACCTGGAAATGTTAATTAAAAATGAGAGGCCTCTGGTCTCACCTCCAGAGAACTTAGTTCCATAGGGCTGGGTAGACTCTTAGAATTTTGCACTTACAAGATGTCCTTTTTAGTTCGGGGACTTTAATAAAGGGAAAGAATGATTTTCTGAAGTAACTCTACAATGCATTTCAGCTAGGATGGAATTTGTTAAATCTGGTAACTGCTTGGTCTATATTGCTGGGGTCATAATAAGAAAGCAGAATCTTTTATGTTTACTAGAAAAGTGCCATCTTTCTTAAGAAGTAAAAGTTGTTCTTTCACTGTTGCAGGAAGTTATTGTTATGTTTGTTAAAGTAGATTATTGGATTTTGTTGCATAACATGTAAATTACTTCGTGTGTATATTACTTAACATGTAAATGACTTAGTCATTTCTATGACCATTCCTTTTCCATTTAAAAAGTATGGAAATTATAAAGTAAATACTCCAAAAATTGATTTTTTTATTTCTGCTTTCTGAACCATGTAGCACTATGAAGATTCAGCCTTACCTTTGTAATTATTAAAACAGATGGGCTAATAAATAGTAAAGTCACTTTATAAGGCACTAAAAAAAGAGAACCCAAATCATGAAAATCTGTCTACTTAGGTAAGATACAAGAATAAATAGAAAATGTGACAGTGGTCCAATGAGGCTCTCTAGAAGAGCAGTTAGACTATTCTATCTGTATATGTATTAAGATTCAAAAATTAAAAGCAGAATTTCCTTTTGTAATAAAATATGTTAAACCTTAGTGCAAAACCTCATATTCAGAAAAGTATTATTTAAGCATTGAATTTTGTTATTATCAAATATTCAAAGCAAGTGGCTGCTACTTGGAAATGAAATGATGATCAAATGTAAAGAAGAAAAGGTGGAGAAATGAACATGTTATTTGAATAGTTGACAGCTATGTAAGTTAGAACAGAGTAGCATATACCCTTTTGATCCTGGGATTTAAATTCAGGTAATAGATCAGGATAATTTTTGAATGTTAAAGGTAGACTACTCTGTAGTGGCATTTTATGAATAACACCTGGAATTAAAAACTTGCCCAAGATTATATATCTTGTTAACAATAAATTTTTAGAAGCTTTAGAGAACCTCTGTCTACAGTTATCTCAAAATAAATTAGAAGAAAATTATCTAAAGGATCCTAATAGTAAACTAGTGATTCTTGACAATTAAGGAAAAACTATGCTGTCTACTTAGATTCAAAGTGCAAGACAATTGAGTGTTCTCTTTACTTTGTAGTTTGCCATTTTCATCATCACTGCCTTGGATGAACCTCTTAATTGATTACCTTTTCAATTTAATGATTAGTGTTGTTAGTAAATAACTGGAAATACTGCTTCTTTTTTGCAGCTGGATGAAGAAGCCCCGATGCGGTGTACCTGACCAAACAAGAGGTAGCTCCAAATTTCATATTCGTCGAAAGCGATATGCATTAACAGGACAGAAGTGGCAGCACAAGCACATCACTTACAGGTATAAGAACTCATGACTAATCTCCCCTTTCCCCCATTTTTCTTTACTATTTGTTTTGACACATAGTTTAATATCTTCTGCACATTGACTACATGTTTATATACAGAGATATAAGTTAATGTAAGAGACTTAAAATTGCAATTGAGAGGAGAGTAATTGTTCATTAGATACCACATAGATAGTCTTTGAAACACTTGGGCTCTTTTGTAAACTATTCCAACTTCTTGAATAAGTGCCAATATTATGAGTGACTTTAAGATGAATGTTCTAACATATTACATTCTTTGACAAAAATATTTATTATCTCTTAAATAATCAAATAATAAAATATGTAAATAACTGCTATTTAAACAAAATGTTGAATTTATCAATTAATGTTTAATATCAGTCTAACCATTTTGCTTTTAATCTTTTTCTTAATTATGCAAGTGGTTTTATCTTCAATAACAGAAGGTGTTTTACAACCTAGAGTGACAATTGTTAATAATAGATCATCACATTTACTCATTTTTTAATTGAACAACTGCTTATTGAGTCCCAGTATGAGCAAAGAACAATGCTAGGGCCTGGAGATGTAGCAACAAATAACACATGAGGATCCTGTTTGTCCTTATGGAATTTACAGTCATGAGAAGTTGAACAGTCATGTAAGTATGATGCTTGTTATAAAAAGTAAGGACAGGATACAAGAGAAACGTAAACCAGGTGATCCAACCCGTTAGAAAACGAGATGAGATCACCTTAAAGAAATAACTTTTCTACTAAAACCCATAGGAAGAGAAAGAACTTGTTAAACCAATGGGCAGGAGAAGAGGAAAGGTACTTTGGCAAGAGGGTAGAATATCAGGAATCATCTCTGTCAGATTATATGTATAAAAATAATTTTATCGACCTTATTCTTCATGTAAATAACCTTTTGTATATAAAGATAAAATTAAAGCCTCGATATACTGGTTTTCTACCAATATAACTGGAACATGTCACTTGAACTTATTTTGGTTATTTTGGAAACACTTTTTTTCTTTTTTTGGAGACAGAGTCTCACTTCATCACCTAGGTTGAAGTACAGTGGCACAATTTCAGCTCACTGAAACTTCCACTTCCCAGATTCAAGCGATTCTCCTGCCTCAGCCTCCCTAGTAGCTGGGATTACAGGCATGTACCACCATGCCTGGCCACCTTTTGTATTTTTAGTAGACACAGGATTTCCCCATGTTAGCCAGGCTGGTCTCAAACTCCTAACCTCAAATTATCTGTCCTCCTCAGGCTCCCAAAGTGCTGAGATCACAGGCACGAGCTACCACGCCTGGCCTGGGAACACATTTTTATTTTATTTTATATTCTTATGCTATCTTCTCACACAACATGCTCCTAGATTATTGTCTTATACTACTTACTTTAATTATTTCTGCAGATAAGAAAAATCAAAGATGAAGCAGCTTTAGGTCAAGCCCATGAAGGTTGTAGCCACCATCATTTAAATTCACTCACAAGATTTTTTTACTTCACATATGTTTTATCATGTCTATGATCTACATTTCTAAAACAGAGTTAAGAAAATATTATACCAATAAGTTCACATGGAATACAGTTGATATTTTCCCAATAACTATAATATTTATGTATCCTGTCTAGTGACCTTTTTACTATAAGTGAAATTAGTGGTGACATAGTGCTTTCTGAGAGGAAAACATTATTATTATTTTTTTTTTTTTTTTTGAGACAGGGCCTTACTCTGTCACCCACGCCCTAGTGCAGTGGTGTGATCCTGGCTCATTAGAAACTCTGCCTCCCAGGCTCAAGGGATCCTCCTGCCTCAGCCCCCTGAGGATCTGGGATTATAGGCACACACCACCAGCTAATTTTTGCCTTTTTTCTTTTTGTAGAGATAGGGTTTTATCATCATGTTGCTCAGTCTGGTCTCGAACTTCTGGGCTCAAGTGATCCTCCTGCTTCAGCCTTCCAAAGTATGGAGATTATAGGAGTGAACCACCACACTCAGCTCAGGGAAGCATCTTGAAAAGCATTTGTAGACTTTGATGAAGGATGATAGATTATTTTTCTGGTCACATGGTAGAGTAGAAAGCCTAAAATATACTGTCAATTAGATTAAAGTTATATTAGATTTTTAAAACTAAAACATATCTTAAAAGCATTTTTGAGCTGAAGCAAAGGGAAGAAACCTAAAAACCAAAAGTAGAGGGAAATTAGGCAATTTAGGAGGCATATGAGGATGTAGGTCAAGTAGAGAGATGTTGAACTTCTGTCTTAGCAGTAATATAGAGTATTAAATGAGAAAATTCATCTGATTAATTGATACCGAGAAGTGGCAAGGAAATTTACCATCCCTTTTTGATAAGTGGGAATCAAAGCAAAGAAGTACATTTTGTTACACAGAAAAATGGCACCTATGAAAATAAATACTACATTTTTGTTATATAGTTCATATATAATTAATGTAAAATGTTGGAAAAATCTTTAAGGAACAACAAATGTCTGCTACCTCTCCTCTATTCAGCAACTACTTATAGAGGTAAAGAAAGAAAAGGAAACAAAAGATAGAAAGTTCGAAAAATTTTTTTATATCAAATTTGATTTGTTTATTGTTGGCATATAGAAAAGCAATTGACTTTTGAATATTAACCTTGTATCCTGAAACTTTACTATAATTTCTTATTAGTCTAGAAGATTTTTCTGTTGCTAATTCTTTGCACTTTAGAAGTAGAGGATGATATAATCTGTAAACAAAGACAATTGTATATATTTTTTCTTCCTAATCTGCCTCTTTTCTTTTCTTTTTTTGATGCATTACATTAGCTACTGTTTCCAGCATAGTATTAATACCGGTGGTAAGAATGGACCTCATCGGCTTTTCTGATCTTAGGAGAAATACAAATAGTTCTTCAACCTCAAGTGTGTTCTAAACTGTAGATTATTTATTAGATGTTGCTCATCAAGTAGAGGAAGTCCCCCTCTATTCCTAGTTTGCTAAAAGTATATATTATGAACGGGTGTTGGATTTTGACAAATCCTTTTTCTGCATGTGTTGATATGATGATACGAATTTTCTTCTTTTGCCTTTTGATGTGAAATATTACATTGATAGGATTTCAAATCTTGAATCAGCCTTGCAATTAGCTGGCATAAATCTCAATTTGACATACTGTACAATTCTTTCTATAGATTGTTGTACTTGATGTGCTGACTTTTTTGAGGATTTTTACATCTGTGTTCATAAATGTTGTTGATCCATAGTTCTTATTTTTTATAGTATCTTTATCTGGTTTTGATATCAAATAGAGGGATATTGGAAGTTTCCCACTATAATAGCGCTTTATGCATTTTTCTCTTGTAGTTCTATCAATTTTTGTAACATATTTTTTTTGCTATGTTGTTAGGCACTTGCACGTTATGTTTTGTCATGTCTTCTTGGAAAGTTGAGACCTTTATCATTGTGTAATGACTTTTTATCCCAGATAATTTTCATTGCTATGAAATTTGCTTTATCTTAATATAAATAACCTAGTTTTTTTAATGTGCATAAAGATAATATATCTTTCTCTATACCTTTGCTTTTAATTTTTCTATGTTCTCATATTTAAGGCAGGTTTCTTGCAGGAAATATCTAGTGGAACTTGCTTTTTGCTTTTGTTTCATTTTGGTTTTTTTTTTAAATCTATGCTATTTTTATTGGCATATTTAATATTTGCTTTTTTTTTTTTTTTTTTTGAGATGCGGTTTTGCTGGTTGCATAGGCTGGAGTGCAATGGTGTGATCTAAGCTTACTGCAACCTCCACCTCCTGGATTCAAGTGATTCTCCTTCCTCAGCCTCCCAAGTAGCTGGTACTACAGGCATGCACCATCATGCCCAGTAAATTTGTATTTTTAGTAGAGGCTGAGTTTCTCCACATTGGTCAGGCTGGTCTCAAACTCCCAACCTCAGATGATCCGCCTGCCTCAGGTTCCCAAATTGCTCAGATTACAGGAATGAGCCACTGCCCAGCCTAGTATTCACATTTAAAGTGACTATTGATACAGTTGGATTAATACTTATAATAGTTGTAATTGTTTGCTGTTGTTATTGGTTTTTTATATTTGTTTTTGTCTTCCCCTCTTTCAGTGACTTCTCTGGTTTTAGTTGACCATTTTACATGTTTTCATTTTCTCTTAGCATGTCAGTTATCCTCCTTTTTATAGTTATTTTAGTGGTAACCCTGGGACTTGCAATATATGTGCAAGTAATCTAAGTCTGCTTTCACATAACACTATACTACTTCACAGCTATTATGGGTATCTCATAACCATTTCTAATTTAATTATTCTGTCCCTTATAATATTCTCATCGTTCATTTTATTTATCCATGTGCTATAATAACCCAGCATATTATTTCTCTTATTATTTTGAAGTTATTATAAGAGTAATAAAATATCAGTTAAAAATAAGAGTAATAAAATATTTTATTTTACCTTTGTTTATTTCTTCCCTGCTAATCTTTTTTAAAGAGATAGGCATTTCTGATGAACATCATTTTTCTTCTTTCTGAATAAATTCTCTTACATTTGTATTTTTGCAAGGCAATTTTATGGACAAGAAGTGTTTTTAGTTTTTATTTGTCTGAGAAGTCATTTTGTTCACTCCACTTTTGACTGGATACAGAATTCTATGTTCATGGTTTTATTATTTTAACACTTAATATTTCAAGCCCCTTTCTTTTTGCTTGCATGGTTTTTGAAGAGAGCTTTAATAAAATTGCTATTTTTGTTCTTCTACAGATAAGGTATTTAACCCCCTCTTAGCTTCTTCCAGGCTTTTCTTTTTGTCTTTGGATTTCTGCTTTGAATGTGATATGCTAAGGTATAGATTTTTTTTTTAATATTTACTCTGTTTCATGTTTCCTGAGTTTCCCATTTCCCAAGTCTATGGTATAGCTTCTGTCATTAATTCTGGGACATCCTCAGCCATTGTTACTGTTTTTCTCTCTTCTCCTTCTAGTATTTT